TCCTGGACTTAACCAGTGTTGGCTGAACTCTTGCCTGCAGGTTTTATTCGCTCTACCGATGTACAACTTTTTACTATTAAAGATGTTACCCAGTTCTTCAGTTATTTTGAAAAGCTATTTCGAACTTCGTAGATTTTTACAAAATACTCAAGCAAGTGATAAGACTCGAATATTATCTGAAACAATGTAAGTTTTAAAAGCACTATATAAACTACATAAATAATATTGTTTATTCATATCTTCTTATAATATTTTTTATTTCTAGGGCATTCAAACAAAATTTGAGTTTGTTAGATTCGAAAAAAAATTGTTCTTTTACATCCAATCAACAACAGGATGTCTCAGAATTTTTACAAAGTCCTTTCAACCATATTAAAGCTGATCTTGTATTGGTCTCAAAAGACAGTCTCATTGACGATTTATTTACTGTTGGATTCCAACAAATTACTAAATGTAGAAACTGTAACTTTGAAAAGGAATGTGCTCACCTGGAAGAAAACATTCTGTTCATAACGTTACCCCAAGATGATGAGTGCAATTTTGAATTAAATATAAAAAATTTATTCGTAAATTACACTCTTGATATGAGGCAACAGCACTGTTCAAGATGTAATCAAGAGTTTTTCCATTTAGTTGAAAATAAAATAGTTTATTCTCCGAAATATTTAATTTTTGTAATTAAAAGATTTTCTGTTAACGGAGAAAAATTATTTCATGCCGTAGAGATTACTCGTGAATTAAATTTGGATACGTTCGAGTAAGTTTTATAATTTTTTTTTAGATTGCTTGGTTATTTCAAAAAATAAATTTTGTTTCCTTTTAGAAATGGGAATGATCAATCGGATACCGTTTTTACATTAAAAAGTGTAATAGTCCATCATGGGACAACGATTAATCAAGGACATTATACAGCTTATATAAAACAAAAAAATGCTTGGTATCATATTAACGATGATATCTTCGAAGTCGTAGACTTCGAAGAATTTATTACATTAATAGCTGATCATGCTTATTTGTTGTTATATGAGAAAATAAATTAATACACTGTTAATTATTTTTAGTTACTTAATTTTCCTCTTTCCCACTTTGTTGTCAGCGTAGGAACATGTTTTTACACGTCCCGGCATCAAATTGAATTGCCGCGTAGCTCATAAGTTGGCAGCAGCGAGTTGGTCGATAAAGAAATTACAACGCGCCCCCGTGTGGCAGACGACGCTGCCAGCGGCGGACATGTTGCAGCAACCTTTCCACAACGCTGTGTACGGCATATATCTCTTTGTGTCGGCGCGGGCTTATATTGGAAGTCCCGGGACTGAGTATACTTCTGCTGTTGTAGCAGCCGCCGCACACACAACAGGCAACGAGTCACGGCTCTGAAGTGTTATGAAAACACCTGTATACCTGTCAAGCACACGTGCTTGACGGGTGTCCGCTATTCTAGCGCTAGTTTCGCCTTGTTTTAAAGCGAAACTGTCGAACTTGTTTTAAGTTCTTTTTGCCGTGAGTTGTTCACGGGCTCGCAGAGGAAGAAAAGGAATTCAAACACATACGTTATGTTGTATAACGTCTCCGTGGGCCGTGTTATACAGCTGGAGAGTTTGAGAGTAGCAGACGAGCTTGTTTTAAGCTCTTTGCCATGAGTTGTTCATGGGCTTGCAGAGTAGAAAAGTGAAGGAATGAAAATGAATTTTTGAACTTACTCCTTATGTTTTATAACGGCTCCGTGTGCTGTGTTTTACAACTGGAGGTTCAAGGGAGAATGCGAGGCCTGCTGGTTTGTTCATCGGCTTTTTATACTCTCAGAATCTCTATTGTTTTAGGTGGGCTAAGTACATGCTGGAATTTGATTTGACCTAAGGTCGTAAAATTTACGAGTGGGCTGAACAAACCAACCGTCCTCGGATTCTCGATCTTTCCACGTTCCACGGGCCAAATCTTTATTATAAAATATTAGACAAAATTGTTGACAAAAGTGTGATACAGTGAATTGTTTAAAATCAGTGAGTTGAGACGAGTGCAACGATACCAAACAGTGCATATTTAGGATGACTTAGTGTTCGTTCGTGAAGTGCTAGTGATTTCATTATTATTTAATTAATTGATAGATTACTTGAGTTTGATATCTGTGGTATAGTGACAACTGTTATTGTTTGATATTCTTGCACTCGGCTTAAAGCTTAATGTAATATTGTGTTTGTAAATAATCATTTTGAGTCGTTAATACAGCCATGTGTAGTTATACTTCTATGGAGTTATTTTCTATTTAATTGACATCATTAAGTTATAATAAAAATTGAATTCATTAAACATAATGATTAAACATAGTGAGTTAGAATATTTAGAAATCATATAAGAATAATTAATCATTTGTTAAAATGAGATTCGTTAATCGGGTCAGTAACTTAGGAACTTTATGATCTAGGATTGATATTTTTCTAATGGGGGTAATGGAGTGATTATCGACCGATCATGATTGTAGGTGGGAAAGAAAAAAACATATGATATCAGTGGCGGTGCTGGACGTCACACCGAATTTGCGTCGAGATGTGGTAAGTATTGATGTATTCCCTTTTTAATTTATATCAATATTTCATTATTTTTATTTATAGGACTCAATTGTTGAATTTTCGTTGGACCCATCTTTGTCCCTTCCGAGATTTTTGACCGAAGTATTGAAAATGTTTTTATGCTATGACGTTGACCTTTGTTACACCGCTATTCAAGCGATAAAAACTAAAAAGCCTATTTACTCTACCAGATTTTTTCAAAATATAATGGGTGTGTATGAAAAATTAATATTTAGGAATGAAAAATAATTTTTTTAATCCTTTTATTTCAATCTGGCAGCTTTACTGAAGGGGAAAGAAAAGAACTCAATGCCAAAGTTTTTGATAAGGAAATAAGATTCGCACTAAGCGCTTTGATGAGCAATGTAGTAGGATGGAACACGAACAAAACGGAGCCAGTGTCTATCCCCAAAAAAACCAAGACTCAAAATAAAGTTGAGCGCATTAAGGATATTGAGAAGCTCGTTGCTGAAAATAATAGCAAGGATGAGATGAGTGAAAAGATTGGCGAAAATGAAGATGACCATACTGAAGACGATGATGATGAAGACGACGACGATGATGTCTCCGTTGACAGCGAAGATTGGAGTAATAATGAGTTTATAAAATCATTCCGGGGTATAAATGAATAATTTTAATATAAATATCCGTTCATTCATATTTAGTAATTAGTATCAATAAATCTCTGTATCATCTTGATGTATTATCAATAAATCCTATATCTTTGTAAATATTTTTAGTCGATTATTGTATATATAAGACATTTAATTGTCCATAAATAGACCCTTTTACTACAGAACCAAATGGCATAATAATAAAAGGAGTTTTATTGGCAATGTTCGAGTCAAACTGATTAATTTAAAAAATATATATAAAATTATATTTCTTGGCCAATTTTTAACCATTTATTGACCAAATTTTTTGGTACCATAATTTGACCAGAAATATTGAAAAAATCGTTATATTTAGGACTATATTTTGGAAATTTTTATTAGTCATTTAATGGCGATGACAATATTTAAAACGTCAAAAAAATGGCCTTATTATGGAAGCGGATTCTACCAGGGTTAAGATGATTGAATATTTGGGGTGCGTTCTCGGCGAAGGCGTATTCATGCCAGGTGATCGAAAAATTACAGCCATTGAGAAAATTCCGAGTCCAAAAACTAAGGGAAAAATTAAGCAGTTCATGGTGGTAGGCTTTGTTATTTCCCGGCCTTTTGGCTAAAATAGAAGTCTCAAAATTTTAAAATGAAATACGAATTTTCCCTTTATTTTATGTAATGATGCTTGCGCCAGGTCGATGAATCAAAAAAAAGGCTAATAACGGAAAAATTATGTGATTCCTCGTGTGATTTCTCGTGTGGTTTTTTTTCAGCAAGTAAATGATCTGCGAGATTTATACCCTACTGAAAGGATCCATATGAAATTCACGTGAATTTCACATGAACGATTTACGTGAAATGTACGTGAAATATACAAGAATTTTTCATGAAATGTATGTAAAATTCACATGAAGATTGTCCAATTTCGTTACGTGAATTTTATATAGATTTCATGAAGAGTTCATATAAAATTCATGTGAATTTCACGTCTATCTAAAGCCAAATATCTCGTGGGAAATTTGATAAAAAATTTTTTGCGTGAAATTGACGTAAAATGTGAGCAAAATTTATATGAAATACATGTGAAATTTACGTAAAGTTTGTATAAATTGTATATGATATATACGTGTATTTTACGTATATTACATGTAAAATAAGTGTAAGATTTTACAAGGAGAATTCAGTGACCATTATTTTTTCGAGAAATTTATGTGAAATTTTTTTAAAATTCACGCAAAATTTATATGTGATAGGCATCCATATTTCATGAAATGCACGCAAATTTTATTTATATTTTATATAAATTTCATGTAAAATTATTTTTTTAATGTACGATCAAAATTTGGTGAAAAATTTTTTACATAAAAATATCATAAAATTAGCGCAAAATTTATATGAAATGCACATGCAATTGACGTCAAGTATGCATATATTTCATATGAAATATATGTGGATTTTACAAAAATTTTATATACAAGTACTGAACGATTTTTCGAGAAAAATCAGTCGAAAACTTTTTTAAGTAAAATTTACGTAAAAATGGCGTGAAATTTATATCTACAATTCAACAATTTACCCTCGATCACCTTCGGTCTACACAAATTCTTTATAAAATGTATGTAAAGGTTGTGTAAAAATAATGTGAATTTCATGTGTAATAATTCTTATTAATTTATTGCATTTTAAATGAATGAAATAGAGCAGGAAGAAGGAATATTACAGTAGATAAAGTCGGGTGTATTCGTAACAATATATATTTTTTGAAACTTATTGAAATTAAATTTATTATCTTGATCTAATAATGCAACATGTTGGCAACACTACTTACATATTTCTTGTCTTTTAATTGTACATGTACTGCTACAAAAGAAATTTCAGTTGTTAAAACAGCCGAATATGAGTCCTCCTCAGAAAGTATCTGTTGATTATAACAATCTCCAGTGGTTTTTAATTTTTTGTAAATAGTATACTCTTTCTTAGTAAGAAAATCAATAATAAATTCGACAATTTTAATTAGTGTACCATCTTTCAATTTTGCATATGAATTGTCTGATTTAACATTGTTTCTTGTTGAAAATAAACAATTATTTTTAACCATTCGATGATAAGATCGTGATGATTGTTGTACTAACGATAATTGATGTATCCATTCATCATCAGTTGTCTTAGATTTACCGAAATATCTACAAGGTGACTGGGGTGATATTTTACTAGATCTTTTAGAATATTTTGCATCCAAATTCGTGCAAAACGTCAATATTTCCGGATTATTAATTTGAATATGATGCTCCATGATATTAATGCATCGTTTGAAATTAAGACTTCGACAGATTTGAAATAAGACCCCTTTAGCTGATTTTGCGGTGCGTGATATTACACCATTCCCATTTTCGAATGGATAGCCGTGATGAGCCCATAGGGGACCCCAGTTATTTACACTATTCGCTATATGAAGCAATTGGTGGACATTGAAACTCATCGCTTTCTTTGAATAGA